CCCCAAAACCCCAAAACCCCAAAACCCCAAAATAGAAAAAATTGCTGAAATAGAATAATAGATTTGAAAATGAGGAAAAAGCAAAATTGATGCTCCAAGTTTCTCAGCATTACAAACTCTACTGTAAAGGGATCAGACATGATGGGAGTTCCAGTCTCTCTAAATTTCAGAGGTAGTGACAAGTTTAAGACCACATATGGAGGAATCATCACTATCCTCACCCTCTGTGTTTTGCTTTGGTTTATTATCACCCAGTTAAATATGGTTATAAATCGTAAGTAATACTTCAGTGAATACAAACATCATCAACAAGAATCTGATTGCTGATGATAAGATGCATAATCTTACTGAGAAGAATTTTATACTGAGTATTGGAGAAATAGGAGCGACGGCTGCTAGTAATTCTCCATTCTACGATGAAACTTATATTAACATTGATTATAAGAAAAGAAATGAGAAAAGGAATACGACTACGGGCATTCCTATTAGCGCTAGTGTTGACTCAATAGGAGCCAAGAACTGAGGTATCATAGAAAACAGCCCTGTCGCAGAAAGTTTCATTACTACATTTGGACTAGATCTTTTTAAATGCCCTGGTTCTACGGATTGGAACATTGGTGGAGCTCAAGCGTCAGCAGAGTATAACAGTCTAGAAGTGCATATATAAAAAAGTGAATTCTGAGTTCTGGGTGCAAGACCGACACTGAGATATCTGACGCCATAAAATCAAAATTAGTCACCATTGCTCTTACTGGGACATTCTTTGACATAGAGGATTATGATTCTCCGATCCATGCTACTTTATCCAACGATTTTCAGTATTCGTTTTTACCTAATTCAATCTCTGAAGTGACCATTAAGATTAGAGTGAATGAAGCTGAGGACTGGAATAACAGATTATACCACTTTGGAGCAACTAATTATGAGTTCATCTCTGTTGACAGTGTCTATCAGCACTATTTCCCAGATGATGGCAGTGGCGATCTTATGAGAATTAAGTTCGTAATCGATAATAAATATCAGCAAACTGAGAGAAGGATATACACCTTTTATGATATGGTCGGAGTAACGGGTGGATTTTTTGGAGCTATGCTAGGATTGGCTTCGATAGTAGCAAGATTTGCAACAGAAAGAGCTTATAGTATGGCATTGCTCAACCAATTTTATCAAGTAGAGACTAATACTAGCCAGGACGAAACTCCTCAACCTCCTAGAAAAAGTGACCGCCAGCTTGCATATACTGAGGAGAAGAAACTTTATGAAAAAGGAGAGCATGAGCATTATTACACAGAACAGCAAAAGAATGAGGAGTCACAAGAGCAGAGAGAAGAAGTAGTCGCTCAATTAAAACTAAAGCTATCAAAGACTAATTGGTACACTTTCAATTGGAAATAACAGTCTTTACAACACTATTTGAGCTAAATTATTCTGATGCAGAAGAAAGCACAGGCGTCAAACAGCTATGGAGCAGAATTATCAAAGCTATATTGATGGAAATGAGAAAATCAGCCATGAGCTTGATCTGATCACCATAATACATACTATGAGGAAAGCTGAAATTATAGGAAAACTCCTTGTTGATAAGCACCAAGAGAAATTGATTGAAAACCACCCTATTAACCATATTTATCCTCATAATTTGGATCTATCAGATTACCCGAAGAAGCCAGATCCTCCTGAGGAGATAGAGGATCTGATTGATGGAATAGACGATCTCAAGAACCAGAAGGACTTCAATTATGGAGATAGGATCACAAAGAAATTAGGTACTGTTGGATTATCCTCTTTGGTTAATTTTTTATGCTCTCAATCATCGGGACATAACCTCCTAGATTTTCTATATCGAAGGATTTCACTTAGAAAATCCAGGACAGAACTCCTTGCTTGTATTATATTTAGCCCCTGTTTATTGACCCTGAAATAGTTGACGATATCCTTGGCGTAAGAATATTTTCGCTATTTTATAGGTAAAAGAACCTATTTTTGAGAGGAATGAGTCAGTACACTTCAAACAACAGGTGAGTATTTTCTTGAGAGTGCAAGATTTATTACTTCCTAGATCGCTTTGTGCTCAGTAGAGGCAAACAATACTCTATGGGAATATTCTTGAGTAATCTTTATATTCGTTTAGTTGAGTCAAGATGAAAACGCTCCAGATTTATCTGATCCACCACCAGTCCAAAATATATATCCTGGATATAAGAAGTAGATATAGAACATTTTCAATGATAATATATTAAAAAGGGGTTTTGGGGTTTTGGGGTTTTGGGGTTTTGGGG